TTTACATTTTGGGCGTCTTTTCACACCCCGGCAGCTCCCAACGAGAGTATTCCCACACCAGCCCTGTCCAGGAGGTCCCACAGCAGCGGGGACCAACAAGTGGCACTTCCAGCCTCCCAAATATTGCTCACTGGAGGCCAAATAAACCCATCTTGATAACTAGCAATAAGGGAAAGTTCTCTCCCCTCTGGGGTTGTCCCCATCGTGGAGACACCGTATCGCAGGCACGGTCATGGGATACACAGATCCGGAAATGAAATCATGTTTTTGCAGCGGACTCATTTCCTCTGGGCTGTTTGGCCACGGCGTGCATGGACGCGTGTGTGGAGGGCTTGCACGCTCCTCCTGCGGGTCTGCCCCGCACCCAGCACAGAAATGCAAAGGTTTGGGGGTTTCTGAGTGATACATGTGAGAGGGAAGAGGTGCAGACCGAAGCATTAGACTCACTGCAACCGGGGCTGTCAAAATACACCAGTAGCTGCTATATTGCTTTTATTTTCCTTCAAATGAGGAATTGATGATGGTCCCAGAAGTGAAATCAAATAAGTGGCCTTGCCCTAACAAAATCCAGCCAGGAGGGTTAGGGGCAGGTAGTATTTTCTGCGTTTTAGAAAACAGGGTGAGGGACTCTGGCTGAAATTTAACCGATCTTTCTTTGGGAAAGGATCTCCTGGTAAGGGAGTGATAGCTTAGAGGACCTCTTCTCCATCCTCCTCCTCTCTCATAGCACCCGTTAAATCCTTTTATCTCTGGGGCTCATGCCGTGAAAGGGTCATTTGTTTCCTGTAAAAGGACGTGCTCTATCTTTTGTGAGTAATTTTCATGCTAAAGGGGCAGTGAACATAATCCTGTCCTGTCTGGCTGTTATTACCTCTAGTCTGTGGTTGCAGGGGTTTTTCTCCTCCTTCGACCAGATCTTTTTAGTTTCTTCTGGTGAGGACAGGCAATATTGGCTCCCAGCCCAGACAAACAGGGGCTCATTACCAGTTATTACCCCCAGGTCTGCTGCCGAGATTTGGCACGGGTGGCCAGTTAGGGAGGAAAAGATAAAAAAAAAAAAAAAAAAAAAAAAAAAAAAAAGCTCTCCAGCGTTTGAAAGAGATAAGGCCCATGTGGAAGGAAAACCACGACTCCTGGGCTTGCAGTGCTCTCGCTCCTTGTTCTGCATTTGTTTCTGCTTTAGAATTAAGTATTTACTAGGCTTCAGAAAATGAGAGCAATGAGTTTGCATGTCAGGTCTTCTGTGGGTGGTGAACCTGCAAGACACCAAAAAAAAAAGCAATTTGTTTTTCCCCCCACTCTACATAAAACATAGATTTTCCCAATGCTGCAGTGAGACAGTCCCTGGACAAACATCTAGTATTAAGCCCAGAGCAATAAAACTGCAGAAAGGTGTGCAGCCCTCATACTGCAGCAGTTTCTGGCTCCTCGTGCAACAGTGGTGAGAAAACAGTTTAATTTAATGCAGTTGGAGAGAGAAGGTACATTTTGTTGGCAGATGGGTGCCCAAAAATCTGTGGGAGAGGTGGGGGGATGGATAAGGGCACTGATGCTCTGTGGAAGGAGGATCTCACCCAGATGTAGCCGTGGCTATTCTCCTCTAGCATGTTGTAGGTCTGGCCCACAGTGGTGTACATTATCTTGAAGAGAGTCAGGTTTGCAACCTGCCCGGGTTTCTTCTTTCTGTGGCCATCTCCACGGCTGCTGTTCACCACAGCCATTGCGTTTTGGCCAGCAACAATGATTCTTCAAAATATTTTGCTTTGAGAAAAGCTGGCTGGGGAAAAAGAAATGGGGGGGGGGTGTGTGGGTGTCGCGGGGAGGAGCAAAAATTTCATAGCAGTCCAGCTGAGCTGGGGTGGAGGTTAGTAAAGAAACATCACCTTCAGATCAAGTTTGGAATGGGAGCTTTTTGCAAAGGGCTTCCCAGTGGTCCCATCCAGCCTGATACAGCAAGAACGGGTTTGGAGGGAGGGAATGCTGTGGTGAAGTGTTTTCCAGCTCATATGTCATTTGTGTTGCCACTTGTCAAAAGCATGCATGTCATTACCCACCAAAGGAGAGTGATTTCTACCTCTGTGGCACTTAGTGTTGCCTGACCTCAGCCAGGCCCATGCAGTAGGGTGGAGAGTGCCCACATGGTCAGCACCAGTTGATTGCATCCTTCCCTCCCTCCCTCCCTCCCTCCTCCCTCCCTCCCAAAGTGCAATACACCAATTTAAAATAATAGGCAATTCTGAGAATAATAATAATAAATTAGGAGGATATTAAAATGAGGATATAACATAAAATAATTATGTTTTATGAGTCATACTATCAAACTTGTTAATGATATAGTCCTGCATCCAAAATATGTGTTGTTTTTATCAGATAAACTTATACCTTTTTACTTGTGGAACTTCTAGCAATTAACTGAAAAAAAAAAAAAAAAGGTCTGTGAGGCTGTCTTATGTGTAATATGCTGTTCCCTTGTTAACCTGTTAATCAGGCACCACTGAGGAAGAAACTTCCCTGTAAAGCCATGAATGGAAAGTAACTATTTTGACAACTTATAAAAGGGTTTTGTCCCAGATTTATTGTACCATACTGTTCATTCACAAA